TCCAAATGATGAATGTAACTGTATTGTTTACCTTAAATGTACCAATAAACTTAATGGGGAAAAAGAGGCAGAACGTGTATGTGTGTGTGTGTGTGTGTGTGTGAGAGAGAGAGAGAGAGAGAGAGAGAGAGAGAGAGATTAAGTACATTAAAATATACAATACAAAAACCAAAAAATTTCCGTCTAAATATTTTAACATCAAAAAAATCAAAGTTCTGGCCAGTTCTCTAACATCTGTAAAGTAAAAGTCAAGGCAGTCTTTTTTTTTTGTTTTTTTTGAGAGAGAGGGTCTCACTATGTAATTCAAGTTGGCCTCAAACTAGCAGGATCTTCTAGCTTCTGCCTCCCGAGTGCTGGGATTACAGGTATGTGCCATCATGCCTGGCAAGAAATTCTGTTTTTACCCAGTTGAATACTGGATAATAATAAATCCCATCACTCCATCCTTACTATCTAAAAGCAGTCTATACCTAAAGGCAAATGCCAGGTTTTGAAGTATGCACCTATAGTTCCGGCACTGTTGACCACTTGAGCCCAGAAGACTGGAACCAGCCTGGACAAAACAAAGCAAAACACACAAAAAGACAGCTTTAACCTACCACTCACATACCACCCCCCAGCACAAACCAGTTAGGTATAAGGAATTACTCTTTGTATGTATTAAATGTGATAGGACTTAAAAATGCAAAGAATTAATTCAACAAATATTAGTGCCTACCACGGGCCAGATACTGAGCTATGTCACAAAACTATAGTCTGTGAAAGAAGAAGGCAAATTCCAGTAGATTAGAGAAACCACTCAAAGGTGGGGAGCAAGAGAATGCCTTGGCCAGGTCCATGGAACGTGGGAATTGCACTGTAGGTGGAAAAAATGGGTAAGAATGGAACAGGAAAACCAGAGAGGCTACAAAAATCTGATAAAAGGAGTGAGATTACTTAGCTCTGACAGGGTTAAAAATAAGCACAAAGGCTAAGTATTAATTAAATAAAGGAAACTGTTAAGGAAAGTTCCAGAAAAACACTGTCAAAATCAGTAACTACACTGATCAGGTAATGCCAGTGAGGACTGGATGAAATGACAAGCTTTATAAACTGCCAAAATGGAGACAGGCATAGAGAAGGAAGCTGATAGTGATTTAAACATTCAACTACACTCATAAGATGATCAAATATGAGTATGGCCTTGCTAACCAATCTCCTATCTTGAATCCCTTCTTGTCTACAGAATAGAGAAATAAAGAGGAACAAAAGTGGGAAGAGAAGATAGGAAAGTTTTAGGTATAAGGTTTTTTGTTAAATATTGTACACATTTATCATGAAACTGTCTGCACAGGCCTCAAGGACAGTTGTGATGATCTCTGGTACTCTGCAAGTCAGATCACACAGCTGATGCTAGGTTAAACAAGCCTCTGCTCAAGCTGTCTAACTGCCTGCAAATGAGCTCCCCTAATTAGACCTGCTTGGAGGAGTGCAACTCCCATCTGGAAGGAACATCAGATCAGGAGAGAAGGAAGCACACTGCGGTGTCGTACAGGAGCTGACTTTAGTTACCAAGGCAGGTAACAAAACTTGCTGGAAATCAAAGAAAAAGTTACTAGGTCCTGGAATGCACCCTAGCAAGGAAAGTCTTCTCTATAGTCTCAGAAAGGATGGCCCAGCAACAGGACAACCTATGCTGCCTACAAGAGATGTTCACCAAAGCCAGGGCAGGCAAGTGAACAGAATCACGACTCCCCAGGTGTACTGCAGCCATATCATCTCCCAGCTCTATGTGAGCCAGGGAACTTTCACTTCTATTAAGCAGTGAAGGATGTACTGAGGACCTGACTCACTGTGAACGCAATAGTGATCAGAATCTAGCTCCTCAGCATTTGCAGTTAAGATAGAAAGAGACCTTCAGCCTGAAAATAACAAAAGCTGAGATAAGGGCAAAAAGGGTCATAGCAGGTTGTGCTAGTCTGGGCTCAAGAACAAATGGATTCCTCTGACAACACAGTATTTAAGCAATTCCTGAACACTAACTGTGAGTTAACTAGGTAGGGTAAGGGAGCTTCATAGGCAGAAAAATGGCATATGCAAAGACTCCAAAAATTCACCAGCCTTAACTACACAATTTGATGAGTTATGATAAATGCATATGGTTGGGTAACTACACCAAAATCATGATACAGAACACTTCCTCACCCCAAAATGTTCTCTGTAGATAAATCTCTGCCCCCGCCCCACCTATACTACCACCACTGAACTGCTTAGATAGATGTTTCTTTTCTAGATCTACACCTAAATGAAATCAAACAGCACGTACTTTTTGTTTGGCTTTTTTCACTTGCCTTAACAGCTTTGAGATTCATCCACTCTGTTTTCCTTTTTTTAACACAAAGCAGTATTCCACCCCACAATGCATTACTTACACATTTATATGGTTTTCAGTTTGGGGATTACTGAATGATGGGTAAATATGCAGAAGTGGAAGACTGCTCAATCTCATGCTTATAAGAAAGTGCCAGTATGTCTTCCAAAGTGGTAATACCATTTTTCATTTGCACCTGCAATGGATGAGTTGCAGTTGTCCACTTTCTGGTGATTGTCACTTAATTTTAGAGTATATAGTCGCATTCCATTGTAGCTTACATTTGCATTTCCTAGTAAATAATGAAGCTGAGCATCTGTTTATAGGCTTAAGATGTCATTCATGTATCTTCTGCTTTGTTGCTGTTGAAGTATTCAATTTGTTTGCCCATTATACTATTTTCCCCGTTACTAAGTTGTAACACTTTTTTTAAAAAAATATATTCTGGATATACTTTTTTTTTTTTTTTTTTTTTTTTTTTTTTTGT